TGGAATAAGTGAGTTACATTATAGGGTTCACAAATCTTTGGGGGGAAATAAAATGTATATGAATTGTTGAATGGAAAACTGGTCTGTGTAAACCTTCACTGATTTACAATAAAATGCTTAAAGAAAAACTTAAAACAGGAAACGCTGTAGGAAAGTTCTGCTTTGTCCTACAGGGTCACTGAGTTGGAATTGGCTGTAAGGCAGTGGGTTTAGTTTTGGGTGCTAGTGGATCATACTTCCTTTTCAGTGATAATTTTGCAAATGCTGCCAGTAAATGATCTTACACTAAATCTTTTAAAACAACCATTGCCTTTCTTGACTTTTTTTCCCTCTCACTATTTTCCTACAGAGGTCTATGCCAGTGTGGCTTCATTCATACAGATGAACCAAGGATTGGGATAACAGTATAAAATTAGAATCAGCAGCTGACTGCCCAGCAGGATGCCATCAACTAACCGAGCGGGTAGCCTGAAGGACCCTGAAATTGCAGAACTCTTTTTCAAAGAAGATCCAGAGAAGCTCTTCACAGATCTCAGAGAAATTGGCCATGGAAGCTTTGGAGCAGTATATTTTGTAAGTGGTAAAACACTTAATGTTAGTGACTAGGATTTGTTTAATGTTCACGCTAGCAAAGTAAAGCACTATAATAAATATAATCCAATTTTAGTCCAACATTTTATAGTCTTGTATATGTAAGAAGCAAATATGAAAGTAGGTGGTTTTATTTATTGATAATACATTTTTTCTTCTTCTGTAACAGTTTTATTGGCATATAATTCATATAGCATACAATTCAGTAGTTCAATCATATCTAGAAGAGTTGTACAACCATCACCATAATCTATTTTAGAATGTTTTTTTCTTATAATCGTTATTAGCTTCCATTCCCGCCTCCCCTTCTAACCTCCCCTGCCATACCCCAAAGGAACCATTAATCCAGTTACTGTCTCTGTAGATTTACCTATCCTGGATTTCATATACAGAAAAACATTCAAAACAAAACAAAAGACTAACAAGAATAACACAGTAAAACATAAAAACCTCAATAGAAAATATTAAATAGAACAAATTTTAAATGGATCAAAAAGGAGATCAAATGACAAGGGGTTAAATTTTAACCTACCTGCGTCTGCAATAATAATTTTCCAATGCATTCTGCATGATAGCAAGGCTGTTCACATCCCTAGTCTACAGTCAGGGGATTAATAATTTGAAAAACAAACAAACAAACTCACTGCCATCGAGTTGACACCGAATTATAGTGACCCTATAGGACAGGATAGAGCTGTCCTTGTGAGTTTTCAAGACTGTAACTGCTTACAGCAGGAGGAAGCCCTGTCAGAGCAGTTGGTGGTTTCAAACTGCTGAATTTGCAGATTATAGCCCAATGTATAACCACTACACCAACAGTGCTCCAGAGGAAATCCACTAGAGCAGTGGTTCTCAACCTTCATAATGCCGTGACCCTTAAATCAGTTCCTCATGTGACCCCCCCAACCATAAAATTATTTTCATTCTTACTTCATCACGGTTATTTTGTTACTGTTATGAATCGGGTTACCCCTATGAAAGGATCCTTCCACCCCCCCCAAAAGGGTCACGACCCACAGGTTGAGAACCACTGCATTAGATGCTTATTTCATGTGTATTTACCCTTCACTTTTTTTTTAACTGAAATAACTTTAAAATGGGTCCAAAAGGATCAAATGATAGTGCATTTTAACCTAACTACACCTGCCATAATTGACCTTACAGTGCTGTCTGTTTGATAACCAAGCTATTCACATCCCTCAACTATGATCAGAAGGAATCCACTGGAGGCCTAATCCATGTGTGGACCCTGCAAATGGATTTTTGGCTTCCACGTCCATAGTCTTCTGCAAACCAAGTGTTCACGATTTAAGCTCTGATACCATTCCATCCTTCAGATTTGGATTTTACTTACAATCTTTGGATCACACAGGCTGGTGTCTTTCTTCCATGTGGGTTTAGTTGATATTTCACTTAGTTGGTTGCTTATTTGAAGACAAACCTTTAAGACCCCAAAGGCTATTCCTTCTAATAGCCGGATACCATTTAATGTCTTCACACTGTACTATAACACCCATGTCTTCAGAGAGTAGAAATTTGCTCAGGTTTTATTTTTCAATTGGAATTATGTAAGCTGTTAACCTAGAATCACTATTTAATTTAAACAGTTCCACTCATAGATACATACCCAAAAGATTGGATAACTGGAACATAATCAGATATATGCTCACAAATGTTCATTGCAGTACTATTCACATTAGCCAAAAGATGAAAACAAACTAAATGTCCATCAAGAGACAAATAGATAAGCAACATGTTTTACATATAGCAGTAGAATACTATGCAACCATACAGAAAAATGAAATCTTGATACATGCTACAAAATGAACAAAACTTGAAAACATGCTGAGTGAAATAAGTCAGTCACATAAAGGACAAATATTGTGATTCAATCTCTGAAATAAATAACTAGAATAGGAACATGTATAAAAATCTAAGGTTACCATGGGATGGAGGGGTGGGTGGGAGGGTAAAGCTTAATAAGAGATGGAGCTTCTGTTATGGGTGATAGAAAAAAAGTTGTAAACAGAGATGATGTTGGTTATCCAACATGAATACAGTGAATATTGCTAAATTATATGGCTGTCACTATATTCTACATGTGAAAAATGTTGAATTAGTAAATGTTTTGTTACCTACAAATTCGGGTAGGTAATGATTAAAAGTTTTTTTAAATGTAAACTGTTTTTCTTTTCAAAATGCCAATTTTGCAAATTGTGTTATATAATGTTTTTGTTAAATGTTCTGTAAAAAATGTAATTGAGAGGAATTTACTGAAACCCAAATGAAGGCTGAGCATGATAGTGGAACAAGAGGAAAGTCAAAGGAAATAGAGGAAAGCGCTAGGAGGCAAAGGGCATTTATAGAGGTCTGAATAAAGACATATAAACATATGTAAATATGTTTATATATGAGGATGGGGAAATAGATTTATGAACATATATTTATAGGTTTAGTATTAAGGTAGCAGATGGACATTGGGCCTCCACTCAAGTACTCCCTCAATGCAAGAACACTTTGTTCTATTAAACTGGCATTCCATGATGTTCACCTTCCCAACACGATCTCTGAAGACAAAGGGGGTGCATAAGCAAATGTGGTGAAGAAATCTGATGGAGCCCGGCTATCAAAAGATATAGCGTCTAGGGTCTTAAAGGTAAACAAGCAGCCATCTAGCTCAGAAGCAACAAAGCCCATATGGAAGTAGCACAACCGTCTGTGTGATCACGAGGTGCTGAAGGGATCAGTTATCAGGCATCAAAGAACAAAAAATCCTATCACTGAATGAGGGGGGGTGCCGAATGGGGACCCAAAGCCCATCTGTAGGCAACTGGACATCCCTTTACTGAAGGGTCGGGGGAGGAGACGAGCAACTCAGGGTACAGTGTAGTAACAATGAAACATAGAACTTTCCTCTGGTTCCTAAGTGCTTCCTCCTCTCCCCTACTATCATGATCTCAATTCTACCTTACAAATCTGGCTAGCCCAGAGGATGTACACTGGTACAGATAGGAACTGAAAACACGGGGAATCCAGGACATATGATCCCTTCAGGATCAGTGGTGAGAATGGCGATACCGGGAGGGTGGAGGAAGGGTTGGGTAGAAAGGGGAAACCGATTACAAGGCTCTACATATAACCTTTCTCGGGGACAGACAACAGAAAAGTAGGTGAAGGGAGACGTCGGACACTGTAAGATATGACAAAATAATAATTTATAAATTATCAAAAGGGTTCATGAGGAGTGGGGATAGGGGAGGGAGGGGGAAAAATGAGCTGATGCCAGGGCCAGGGACTTAAAAAACGTGGAGAGCAAATGTTTTGAGAATGATGAGGATAACAAATGTATAAATGTACTTTATACAATTGATGTATGGATGGATTGTGGTAAGAGTTGTATGAGCCCCCAATAAAATGATTTAAAAATGTTCTGTAAAAGCAGTTTTAATATCTTTTTTCTTTCTTTTTTAAATCATTTTATTGGGGGTTCGTACGGCTCGTATCACAATTTATACATACATCCATTGTGTCAAGCTCATTTGAACATACGTTGCCATCATCATTTTCAAAACTTTTTCTTTCTACTTGAGCCCTTGGTATCAGCTCACTTTTTCTTAATATCCTTTTTCACATGGTATTCTCAGAGAAATGATTGCTCCAATTTAATCTATTAATTTTCTCAATGATCCTTTCTTTGTTATATTTGCAGGCACGAGATGTGCGCACCAATGAAGTGGTGGCCATCAAAAAAATGTCTTATAGTGGGAAGCAGTCTACTGAGGTAGGTTAAATGCATACATATTTATTTGGCATGTTGGGGAAAGACATGTTGGGAGGGACACTAGAATTTTTAAAAACGAAGAAGAATCTTTCTTTCACAAAGCAAGTTACCCATTTAATTAGAACCCAAAGCAATAACCACAGTATTACCCGCAATCCCAAAAGACTCCCTCCACCTTCTACTGCACCCTCATCTTTTAATTTTTTGAACTCTTGTTTAGCAGATTATTCTGTATTATGGGTCAGCGTGCCCTGAATGAAATAATTTTTAAAATCATGTAACTGAATTATGAACTCAATGAATGTAGTTTCTTCTAGTTTTTTTATTTGGACACTAAAAGTTCTAAATAAATCATGTTATATTTTTTGTTAGCTCTTCTTGATGTAGTAATTGCTTTATTCTTTAACTTTCTAAATAAAAACTATTCATAAATTTTCTCCTTCATCCTTTTTATCCCTCACAGAAATGGCAGGATATTATTAAAGAAGTCAAGTTTCTACAAAGAATAAAACATCCTAACAGTATAGAATATAAAGGCTGCTATTTGCGTGAGCACACAGCATGGGTAGGTGTCTACTCTCTCCTTGCTGTAATTTTAGTTGTCTTTGATTTAAAATTAACTAATTAATCAAGAGTAAGTCAAACTAATTTTGTAAGAACATGCAAAGGTATGCAAAATGTTAGTTAATCTGAGAAAGGAAAAGCAACCGCCTTCCAATTCTACAATTGTATAAGCTTAATAATTCACTTAAGAGAAGTGCTCAATTTCTTTTAAATAGAAATGGCTCCCTTTTATTGAATAATTAATAGAAACTAATTATCATTTTAGAATACTGAACTTAGATTTAGTTTTGTAATGTTTGGTACATTTTTTATCTACTTTGAATTTTGGAGAAACTCCAAACTTGAGGCTAAGATTAAAATAAGCAGCCAATTTAATGTTGGGCAAGTTACCTCTGTTTCTCAAATTTTCCATCTGTAAAATAGGAATAATAACCTACCTCATAAGTCTTGGAGGTGATTGATAGAATTCATGCCTTTAATGCAGGAGATCCAGGTTATATTTCTGGCCAATGTACTTTATGCAGAACCACTATGAGTAGTGGCTTGCATGTTCCTATGATAATGATCGGTATCAGTGAAGCAACCAGACTAAAATGAACTAGGGAGAAAAGACCTGGCAATCTACTTCTAAAAATTAACCAATGAAAACTCTACGGATCACAATGGTCTGATCTGAAACTGATGATGAAGGTGGTGTGGAACCTGGCAGCAGGTCCTTTCATTGTGCATCTAACAACAATACATAACGTCGTTGTAAGCCTTAAGTTAGTTGATACTTATATTTAAGATAATCTGGCATATAGGAACACTATTTAAGAGAGGTATTTATGCTCTAACCTAAACTTTGTACATATAGTTCTAGAGTCTAGTTTTCTGGCTCCTAACAATTATCAGTAAATGCTATACTATGGGATAACTATAAAAGAATGGTTTTCTGATCTGTTTTTTATTTGAAATACCCATTTGTACAGGTCACTCTTCATTAACATTATTAAAAGATTAATTTATAATTAGATTAACTTGATACATATATTTAGCAAATTGATAAATATCTTTTTAAGGTAAATGATAACTTGTATTTTACTTCAGACTGTTTTCTGGAGCCTCCTGGGTGAATTAATTTCATTTTAAATGTAATCCTTATAATAATATGCTCTAATAATTTATAAATTTTTTCCCTATGTAGCTTGTAATGGAATATTGTTTAGGATCTGCTTCAGATTTACTAGAAGGTAAGTTTCCTTGGATTATTAGAAAATAAAAATAATAAAATAACTCAATTAAAGATTTAATATACTATGTTAATGCTAAATAATGCAAAAACTTATTCAAATACAGAAAAAAGCCATAGCCTTTCCTATATTTTCAGCATGGTATGTGCTATCCTCATTAAATATTATATAGTAGCATAGGTAGTTTTCCTTATTGTGACTTTATAGAGTTTCTTTTTTCGCCCCTTAACAGCTTGAATCCACACTTTACATTCAGATCAAATAGAGAACATTTCTTCTGTCAATTTTGTTATTATATCCACCAAACAATTCTTTAATATTGTTAGCTAAGAGGGAATTTGACTGTGAAATTATATGAATAGCTGGACAGAACTATATACTAGTTATAAAGTTCTATAGACTTATTTTTATTATCTTGGAAAGTAAATCCCTTCTAGCTGAATATTAGTATCCCAAATAGGTAAGTATATTTATTTTTCTAAATAAAAATGTTTTATGTAATAACTAGCTTCAAATAAATTCTTTGTTTTAAGTTCACAAAAAGCCATTACAGGAAGTGGAAATAGCAGCAATAACACATGGTGCTCTCCAGGGATTAGCCTACCTACATTCTCATACCATGATCCATAGGTAAGTGCTTTGAAAATTATCATATGTTAATAAGCAAATTCATTGTTACATTTATCAACTCTAAAATTCATTAACTGAATTTTTTGTTGGTGATCACCAAGTTTAGAATCATTTTAGAATCTTATAAATCCATTTTTTTTAACCATACCATATTCTAAAAATATTATACTGGATCTCTTTTTAGGATTATTTTCTTTGTTTACTCATACGGCTAGACCTTCTTGAGTTATGCACACTTCATGGATTTGTAGTAGAAATTTAATTGTAGAATCACTTACTTTATAAATTAGAAAGGCTATTAACAATCCTATATTCTTTTAATTTTACTGATGCACACTCATAGTCCTAGTTTGTGACAAATATTCTAAGGGTTGCAAGGCCAGATAGAGCTAGAATTTAACCTTTATCTTTTGTCCTTATCGTAACTGATACTGCCAGATTATTTTCCATTGATTTTATGAAATGGACATATAAAAGCTACTTAAGGATTAAACCGTTTTATAAAACAGTATTGGTATTAGTGATTTTAGGGGAAAAGTAGCAATTCTTTTTTTTTTTGTTTTGTTTTTTGTTTTTTTAATTCTTATATATAAAGTTTCCTTGGATTATTAGAAAGGTAATAATACTAAACTGTATTAGAGGGCTTCAGTTTGTAGGAAAATTCTGTCATCTTCTCCCCCCTGCCCCCATTTTATTGATACATAATCCACATCAGATAACTTGATTGTTCTCTATCTTTTTTTTTATTCACTGCTCTTCTCTGTTATCTTTATATTCCACTTTCCCACAAACTTTTCTAAGCCCACTCATGTATCATTGTGAGTTAATGAATTATCATTTTTTGAGAAAGTTAAAGTCAAGAGAAATCCACGCAGCTTGTAAATAAGTTGCTTGGCAAGAAGTACCTCTCCATTATTTTCAACAAATGAAATGAAAATAAGTTAATTTAATAGTGCATGCATTGTAATACAAAGGAGAAGAATTATGTTAAAGTTTTAGCCAGATTTTTTATTTTACACTAAGGTATACTGAAATTTTATAGATTATGAAATGATTTTCAGCTACCAATCTAATTCTAATTTTATTTCAAACCATTTTATTGGAAGCTAATACAGATATATCATTCCATAGTTCCATCATGTCAGTGTTGTAAAATTGTTGCCATAATCAGTTTCAAAACATTGTCTTCCTTCTTGAACTCCTTAATTATCAGCTCCCCTTTACCCTCCCCTCTGTCACTATACTTCCTAGGAACCCTTTATTCTACTTGTTTTCTCCATAAGTTCATCAATCCTGGGTTTCATATAACAAAAAATATATAACAATTCAAGAGGTCTACCCTCTGACAAAATACATCAGAGATAAACCACAATATAAAAAAAATGTTGAAAACAAGATCAGGTCCAATGTGCAACAGAGTGGGAGGAGTCCACTGATACGGTTTTAACTGTTCAAGTCAGCTTTATAAGTTTGCTCTCTTAGGGTCATCTCTCCAATGCATTCTGTTTGGTAACTAGTTTGTTCCCATCCTTCTATTACGGATAGAGGATAATCACTGGAGGCTTATTCACTGGGTGGATCTCACAAATTTATCTTGGACTTCCACTGTCATCTATAACCTACAATCAGAATCTCACTTCGGCTCCAGTACTGTTCCCTCCTTTGGATTCAAATTGTATGATTTACAATCCTTAGATCATTGATGTTGGTGTGCTTCTCCCAAGTCCTTAGTTGATATCTCATTTAGGTGGCTGTTTGTTTGGAAACAAGCCTTTAAGACCCCAGGTGCTATTTTATCTGATAGACACCATCTAAGTTTTTCACCACACTTTGCTGTAGCAGCCATGTCTTCTGTGTTCACTCTAATTCTAATTTTAAGGCCATTATTTGTACCAAAGAATAGCCTCAAGATAAAGACTGTGTTCTAATTAGTGATTTTCAATCATTTGTTATTTATAACTCTTTTCAATATTTTTTACAATATTTTCCTTGATATTTATTTTATTTTTGTTTAAGTTGGATCTCAATATTCTCCTAGTAATACAAATTTCCTAAGATTGAATGATTTTTATTTCTCCTTCCCTATCCCATTGTTTGTTTGTTTTTTCAATACAATCTAATGAAGAAGAGATTAATAACTGTCTGTATTCCTTAAACCCAGAGATATCAAAGCAGGAAATATCCTTCTGACAGAACCAGGCCAGGTGAAGCTTGCTGACTTTGGATCTGCTTCCATGGCATCTCCTGCCAATTCTTTTGTGGGAACGCCATACTGGTAATTATCATCTGCTCTCATATTGATCCTCATAGTGATATCATTTATATATGTAGTGTGAGGTTGTACAGTTTTTTCTGGTATCTTTCCTATAAATAATGCTATTTTGGACATTTTAATTTTAAGGATTTTAGGTTTTTTTTAGTTTTTAATAGAGATTTGTGTGCTGTCCTTGACTTGCCCTTTTTAATCCTTTAGCTTGGTGTCCTCCCACCCCCATTTCATTCACTTTGTTATTATTATCTGCCTCATAAATTGGGCTTGGAGGTAAAAAGGAAAAAAAACTCAAAAGTAGGGGGAGATTAAAATACTAAATGAAATTTTTGTTTTTTCCTTAAATTCATCTTTATTTTAGTAATCTGAAGACTGGCAGCCTTTTTTTAAACTGTTGATAGAGTAGTTTATATTAGTTTAAAATTCTATAATGTATATTTATATACATCACATATTATACAATTTAAGGCACACATTCATATTGAGAAGATTTGTTGCAGCCATCACCACAATTTCAGAACATTTTCTTTTCTTTTTCAGAACATTTTCTTCTCAAACTTATTTGCTCCCTATTCCCCACCAAACCATCCTCATCTGCCATGTCCCTAGGCAATTATCAGTCTAGATATTCTCTCTATAGATCTACCTGCCCTGGATTTCATATTCATCAAATCAAAACACAAACAAGAAGCAAACAAAACCTACAATGGGTAGACAAAACGGAAAAACCTCAATCAAAAAGAAAGCAGAAATTAAAAACTGAAACAGCTTTAAAATGGGTGAAAGAAAGATCAAATGATAATACATTTTAACCTAACTACTTCAGTCATAATTGACTTTACAATGTTCTCTGTCATATAGCAGGGCTATTCACATCCTTCAACTATGGTCAGGGGCTATTCACCAGAGACTTAATCCACGTGGGGCCTCTGCAAATGTTTTTGGGTTTCCATTGCCTTCTACAAATGGGGTGTTCACAATGTAAGCTCTGATACCATTCCCTCCTTTGGATTTGGATTTTATTTACAATCCTTTGATCACACAGGCTGGTGTACTTCTTCCATGTGGACTTAATTGATACTCACTTAGATGACTGATTGTTTAAGGACCAACCTTTAAGACCCCAGACTATTGTTTCTGATAGCTGGGCATTATCCGGTTTCTTCACCACACTGTGCTATAACACCCATATCTTCAGTGATCTCTTCATGAGGGTGAGCAGCAAGCCGAGCCCTGTCTTAAGAACTCATTGTTAGATTGGACTAGAATTAGTTATCAGCCACTGTAATAGTCTAGGTACTTTGGAGAAACAAATCCACAGCGACTCACGTGTAAGAGAGAGTTTTATGTAAAGAAAAGGTGCATCACGAAAACATCCCAACCCAATGCTGCCCAAGCCCACAAGTCCAACATTAACCCATTAACCCAACACCAGTCCACAAAGTCTTCCACCTCACAAAACAGAGGCAATGATGCCAACTGCAGGAGGAAAGCTGAGTCAGTGAACGAACAAGCATCTCAGCACTAGCAGGGGTCTCCACACGGCTGCTCCAGCACCCAGGGCTGCATCGGGATAGGTCCGTGTAGCTTCTCCTTGGGGATATCTTGTAGGAAGTCAATCTTGCAAGCTGAAGCAGGGAACTGCTAAGGCAGCTGCACCCGGTGCAACCATCACAAAACAAGAGACCCGAGAACTAGAAAGGCGAGGCTTCACCACCCATTTATCCCTCCGCCTTTCAACCAGCCCCACATGTGATTATCGGCCAGGCTGGCACAATTAACTGACTCAGCCACAAAATCAATCAGGTTCTCTCTTTCCCTCTTATTGCTGCTGTTTTTTGGTTTATGAAGAATTTAAAATATATACAAAAGTAGACAAAAATAATGAAGCCCATTTTCTAGTCACTCAACCCAACAACATTGTGAGGTTTCAGGCCAATCTTGTCCTAAGTACTATCTTATCCACACCCCCACACCCTACCCCCAGTTATTTTGAAGTAAATTCTAGATGTCATTTAATGATATATAAATAATTCATTAGAATTATCAGCAAGTTTAAGGGAATACTTTTTAAAAACTCTTCAGCTTTCATATGTTCTCTTGCTCTAATTTGGAAGTTGTGCCTGATAGCCCTTGCAAATTCATGCTTTTCAAAATCTCCCCACTCCTGTTACAAGAATAAAGCTTCTTATATATCATGATTATTATATTAGTGGATCTCCTCTGGGATGTAAAAGCCTCTGAGAAACACCAAAAAGACAGTGAGAATGTATAATGTTTATGAGAAATACTTAAAGGTTAGGGTTCAAACTCATGGCAAGACCCTATGCCTTTCCAGTTATCTCACTCTTTTTTTTTTAGCTCTCTTTCACATCATTCCATTTCCCCCTTCTAACCCAGAATTTACAAAGGATGGTTTTCTTAGGACACATAGTATGTAATGTGTTTATTTGCATTGAAAAATGAATTCAGACTTTCCTGTCAGCAAATGACTTTGATTTGACTGGTTATTACAACCATGTAGTTGACCTTTATTGTAGGCTATATGGCAGTTAAAAATAAATTAGCTAATTCTGCAGCTCCAAGATTATGATAAAATTATATTTAAAATATGACAGATACAATATATACATATATACTATGTATTATATTCTTTGCACATATTAAGTTTATTAAATTTACATGTCAACTACCAAAAGTTCAAGGGGATTGTATTAGTCTAGGTACTTTAGAGAAACAAATCCACAGCAACTCATGTATAAGAGAGTTTTATGTAACGAAAGTGTGCATCACGAAAACATCCCAACGCAATGCTGCCCAAGCCCACAAGTCCAACATTAACCCAACACCAGTCCACAAAGTCCTCCACCTCACAAAACAGAGGCAATGATGCCGACTGCAGCTGAGTCAGTGAACAAATAAGCATCTCAGCACTAGCAGGGGTCTCCACACGGCTGTTCCAGCACCCAGGGCTGCATCGGGATAGGTCCATGTGGCTTCTCCTTGGGGCTGTCTTGTAGGAAGTCAATCTTGCAAGCTGAAGCAGGGAACTGCTAAGGCAGCTGCACCCTGGTGCGACCATCACAAAACAAGAGACCCGAGAACTCGAAAGGCAGGCGAGTCTCACTACCCATTTATCCCTCCGCCTTTCAATTAGCCCCACATGTGCTTATCGGCCAGGTTGGCACAATTAACTAACTCAGGGATACATAGTTTTTTTAAGTTTGTGCTTTAGTATGTAGTGGGTAAATGAATTAATGTGAAGGCCACTGTTCTAGATGACACAAATTTCTTATGTAGATCCCTAGTCTGGATCTTAGATAAAGGATTCTATGAGCAAATGCACTCCAGAATGATTCTCCACTTTAGAAATTGATAGTGAATATTCAATGTTAAAAGTCCCTGGAAAGTCCTGCAATAAGAAAATAAAAATCACATCATTAACTTTTAAACTTAGTAATTTCCCAGACCTCAATATCTTTCAAAAATCTTTGGGAAGGCTCTGTTACGGACATTGGAAAGTTTGCATTTATATATTTGAATATGTGAATACAATATTAAGAAAACACATTTCTGGGAACCATCTTACAGAAGAAGTCAACTGGTTTTAAGTGTCTTATCTGTGCTTAACACCAAATAAAAATGAAGTATAGACCATGGTATCAAGAACTGTAGGCTCTAATTGAAATGCTAATTAAATAAGTGAAACCTAGAAAGTGAAAATTATATGATTGGGTTGTGAACTATTATCATGGGACATTAATTTTCTTTGAAAGGAAGGCAAACTTGAAAGGAAGACAAATTATGGTTATCCAATCTTGGGTATTTGGGTAGTTTCTCAAATAAATGAAGTCAGCTTATGTCAACAAAAGCAACTGGCACAATTTATTGCCATTGATAAAATTAAATACTTTGAGCAAAAATCGCCCTTTGTAATATTCCTGTACCCACAATATATTGGGGTATATACAGTATTAGATTCAGCAGAATACAGCTCTTTTTTTGGATGTCCTTCTTTTAGAGTACTGCTGTATGATTGTGACAGATGGTAAGAAGAGGATAGTCTCAAATTACATATGCAATGCTAATGGTTTTCCTCATACGTGTAATATATTTGTTTTGTATTATAAGCATCCTTATGGTCACATAAATTGATTGAAATTTAAAACAGTTTTCCCCACATAGATGGTCAGTATATTGTTAAAGAATAACATAACTATTTTAGAACTGTAATGTAAATGGATGTTTTATGCTTCAGGATGGCCCCAGAAGTAATTTTAGCCATGGATGAAGGACAATATGATGGCAAAGTAGATGTATGGTCTCTTGGAATAACATGTATTGAGCTAGGTAAGCATTTTTCTTCATTACCATGGAGTAAGATTTAATCAGAGTTGTACTTGAGTTTCAGTGCTGAATTATAACTTTTTATTTGTGCCATATGCCAGTTCCTAAGGGGAGCAATATATAAACAGTCAATTAAAGTTTTTACTTTAATTTTCTAATAATTTTTTATACATTTTCTTAAAAATTTTCCTGATTAGTCCCATAATGGTCTTGTTCTTTTAGCGAGTCTACCAAGATTACCCCTTTGAAGTTCTTCCAGTGACTCTAACCTTCTGAGCTATTCTCTGCCTTGAATTTAATTCCTTTGGGATGCCACTATTTTGATAGGACCTTTTTTTTTTTTTTTTTTTTTTACATTTTATTAGGGGCTCATACAACTGTTATCCCAATCCATACACACATCAATTGTGTAAAGCGTATTTGTACATCATTTCTCAAAACATTTTCTCTCCATTTAAACCCCCGACATTAGGTCCTCATTTTTCCCCTCCTTCCCCGCTCCCCCCTCCCACATGAGCCCTTGATAGTTTATAAATGGGTATTTTGTCATATCTTGCCCTGTCCGACTTCTCCCTTCATCCACTTTTCGGTTGTCTGTGATAGGACCTTTTTTGGTGAACGTACCTTAATGAGACTAAGACAAATACTTTATGAAAAGAACTTCCCTATAGCCATACACCAATCACAGAAACATGTTTAAACACATTTTGTCTGGAAAAATCTTGTGTATGTATGAACTAGTACCCAAGTAGCAGCACCTTTTAACTTACCTTCATATAATAGTAGACCACACTGGGGAAAGTTATGAAAACTTTTAGCTTTAACCAAGCACCTTGAGGGAGTGAGTTACTGGCCCTGGGGGTTCAGGACCTCAGGGTCTCTGAGACATTAGTTCACTTGGCATAACGTAGCCTACAAAGACAGTATTCTTCATCCTACTTAGGTGAGTAGCAGCTGAGATATTAAAAACTTGTAAATGACCATCTAACGTGCAGTTGTTCTGCACATCTGGAGCAAAAAAAAGTGAAGAAAATCAAAGATGCAAATAAATAATTAGTATGAAGGACTAATGGGCTACAGGATTACCAGCTCCCATAACCCTGAAGCCAATACAAGATAGTACCCATCTACCACTGCTGGCCCCCTTGAAAGGGATCACAATAGGAGGACTTAGATGGAGTAAGAGAATAACGAACAAAACTGAAAAAAATAATTGAAAAAAAAGTCTAGGCTTACTGTTCTGATACCAACTGGTGTAATCCTTGAGAATATGGCCCATAGACAGCCTTAAAGCTTAGAACTGAATCCGTACCCATGCCTCAACCTTCAGTCACATGATAAACCTATAAGATAAGCAATAACACCAAGGAGATGCACACTCATTAAAACAAGCAACTGTATGAAATAGATGTAAAAGGCAGCATTTACCCATGGGAAAATCTTAGAAGGTAGGAAAAGACAAAGGAAGATTGTAAACACAAGGAGGAAGTCTGAAGAATGCTGTGGGGATTGGAATCAGTATCACAAAACAAAATTTATATGACTTATTAAATAGAAAACCAATATGCTCTATAAACTTTCATTCAAATCATAATTCAAGGCAAAATAAAACATAAAGCCTTAAATTTTATAATATTAAAATGGATAATAGTGAAATCTTTTTAAAAAATAATTTTATTGGGGGCTCTTACAGCTCTTATGACATTCCATACATCAATTGTATCATGCTTACTTGTACGTATGTTGCCATCATCATTTTCTAAACATTTACATTCTATTTGAGCTCTTGGCAGCAGTTCCTCTTTTTTCCCTCCCTCCTCCCCACTCTTATAACCCCTTGATAAATTATAAATTATTATTTTCTTTTTTTTATCTCGAAGGAATTTGTCCCTTTTTTCTTTTTTTTCTTAAATCATTTTATTGGGGGCTCGACCAGCTCTTATCACAATCCAT